GCTCAAATAACTTAGCTAAGGATGGACCAGTTGTGACATTGATTGTGTACTGTGCAGTGTATACGATTCTATCCTAACAGCTGTCATTTTGCAGGGCCTGCTGAGCCATGGCTGAGTTTGTGCAGAAGCGGCTGGAGGAGCTGCTGCCGGAGCTCGAGCAGCTGGAGCGCGTGCAGCTCTTCACCAAACCGGAGGTGCGCGCAGTCATCAAGAAGCGAAAGGAGTTCGAGTACCGGCTGCAGCGCAAGCGGAAGTCGCTGGACGACTACACACGCTACATTGAGTATGAGAAGAACGTCCTGCAGCTGATCTGGAAGCGCCGAGAGCGGCTCGGCTACAAGCACAAACAGGCAGACATCGACCACAAGATCGTGACCCGCATCTGCCAGCTGTACCGAATCGCCACCATCCGGTTCAGCGACAACGTGCAGCTCTTCCTGTCGCACGTGGACTTTTGTCGGCAGATGAAGCAGCTGGCGCAGGGCAGCCGCGTGTTCCAGCGCCTGCTGCGCACGCACGCGCACCGCGCGGACGTCTGGGAGGCGGCGGCCCGGTACGAGATGGAGGACAACAACAGTCCGGAGACGGCGCGCCGGCTGTACCTGCGCGCGCTGCGCCTGCACCCCGAGTCGGCGGCCCTGTGGACGGCCCACTTCCGCATGGAGCTGCAGTACGTGGACGTGCTGCGTCAGCGGCAGAGCCTGCTGGGAGTGTCGGAGAAGGGCGCGGCCGGCGAGCGAGAGGACGGAGAGGGGGCGGACAGTGACGGGCAGGACAGTGGCGGCGAGGACAGTGGCGGGAGCGGAGAGGAGGAGGAGGACAGCGACGAACCCAAGAGGAAGAGGCGGAGACGGAGCCGGCCGGGCTCTGACCCGGTGCTGCAGGGCGCCGTGGCGATGGTCGTCGCCCGACAGGCCATCGCGCGTCTGCAGGAGGCGGACCCCAAGGCGGACCCGTGCCAGCTGCTGGCCGCCCTGCTGGCCCAGTGCCGGCCGTTCGAGTTCGCCGCCGGCCTCGAGGCCCAGCTGCGCGCCGAGCTGCGCGACTGTTTCCCCGAGCACGCCCTGACGTACGACACACTGGCGCGCGAGGCGCTGAGCGGCGGCCGGGCGCCGGGCCGCCTGCGCGCCCGCCTGGAGGCGTGCTGCGCCGTGTACGAGGAGGGCCTGTCGGCCGCGCCGGCCGCCGACCTGTACCCGCTGTACGTGGGCTCGCTGGTGGAGGCGGCGCGCGCGGCCGCCCGCCACCGGCACCTGGTGCTGCCGCGCCTGGAGGCGGTGCTGGAGCGCGCGCTGGAGGCCGACGCCGCCACCGAGGAGGCGCTGCTGCAGGCGGCCGCTCTGTACGCCGAGCTGGGGCTGACGGAGCGGGCGGCGGCCGCGCTGCGGCCTGGCACAGAGCGGTTCGGCGCCTCCGTACCGCTCTGGGACCAGCTGATACAGGTGGGTGCCGGGCTGGGGAGCGGCTCATACAGGTGGGTACCGGACTGGGAGCGGTCTCTCCAGTATCTATTGATCTTCGAATACTATTTTCTAGCGGGCATCAAATATGGGTTCATTTCACTTATTAGGTACCGCTTTTCGCCAATATTCAGCTGTCAGCATGTTCATTGGAGACTCGGTGAAGTGCTATTAACCCGGCAGTTGCTGGGGTATTTCGCCACCCACCGTTTGCTGGGGGGGGGGGGGGGGGGCGTTAAACGCCCCCAGCCGATAACTCGAGAACCAATAGGCGCAGCGAAACGCACGAGGCGGCAAACGACAGAGCGCGACGAGACGCTTCAGATGAGTACTTTAAAGTTGAATTTTGAGGTCACAGGTCGGGTCAAGGTCAGGTCAAACACCTGAAATCGGGCTTTCAGTAGCATGGACTTCAGGACTTCGCAATGGGCGCCTCTCGCCATAAACTCTGTCAAAACGGTGCACAATCCATCTTATAAGGCCTACAAGAGTGTCAGCTCCATGTAGGGGTCAGTCAAGCATAGGTCAGGGTCAAGGTCAGGTCAACCGGGTAGGCACATATCCCCGAAAATCAAAACTGATATTGGCAGCCTGTGACACATGTTTTATAGGTAATTTGGGGCGTAGAACACGATGGTGACATTCATTTTATCATATATGTACGTGTTTAGCTCAAAAAGTTCAATTTAATAAATTCATGTATCATGGTCGTGAAGTAGTCACGAAAAATTGCCAAGATTCAGTTCAAGATTATGGAAAATGCGGGACGATAATCAATAATCGAAGATAGCCATTTGATTGATTATGGTATTGGCAGTCTAATGGAGTTTACGGCATGTCTGTATGTCTATTCTGTGATTTTATATGATTTTTTGAACATATGCCGTGTTTGGTCGAAAACTCAGAAATCATGACGTCACTAACACCTCGATATCTCAAAAATTTTCCGACCGATTTTTTTGAAACTTTGTCACAATAAACTTCAATCAATTCCCTACAGGTACCCAAAATTTGGCGCGCCTGCGGCGCGCCGTTTTTATGCTATGGCCCGGCGAAAAAAGTGGGGGCGTTTAACGCCCCCCCCCCCAGCAACTCGCGGGTTAATGTGTTTTTATATTACTTTTCCCGTCCCGCTGACCCCGCCCCCCGGCAGGTCCTGTCGGCCGCCGGGTAGGTCCATTGCTCACTGTCCGTTTATGATGTCCCTCTGACCCCCCCCCCCGCCCCCCGGCAGGTCCTGTCGGCCGCCGGGTTGGTCCACTGCTCACTGTCCGTTTATGACGTCCCTCTGACCCTCCCCCCCCCCTCCCGACAGGTGCTGGCGGCCGCCGGGGACGGTGATGGCGTGTGCGCGGCGTTCGAGGCGGCCGCCGTGGCCGTGCCGGACTCGGCCGCCGGCTGCGGCGCGCTCTGGCTGCGCGTGCTGCAGTGGGCGGCCGCGCACCGCGCCACCTACGTGGACCGGGTGTTTGGCGCGGCGGCGGTGCGCTCGGCGGCCGTGCTGCGCCCGCTGAAGGCCGCCTACCTGCGCTGGCTGGCCGAGCAGCACGGCCTGGAGGCGGCGCGCCGCATGTTCTCCGAGCACCAGCTGCGGCCGCCCGTGGACGCCGACCTGTTCGCCGCCATGGCCGAGCTGGAGGAGCGCCAGCGGCCCGTGGACGTGGCCCGGCTCCGGGAGGTGTACCGCACCGCGTGCCGACACGTGGGCCACGACCGGCTCGACCTGTGGATGGCCTACGTGCGGTTCGAGCGGGAGCGCGGCTCGCCAGAGCTGGCTGCCGGCGTGTACAGACAGGCAGTGGCCTCTCTGCGGCCCGAGCAGGCCGACCAGTTCGTGGCGCAGCACGCCAAAATGGTGGCCAATGTTGTGGAAGGGGACGACTGACTTTATTAGGGCGGGGGGGGGGGGGGTACAGTGGATCAATACATTATTTGGTGCATCAACTGGTTTCTGTTCAGTTGGAAAACATAACCTTGCAATACGTTAGTACCCATAAGGTAAAGTCGAGAAATGAACTAGGATCGCAGGATTCAGAGTCCTGAATCTCTGCTGGAGCTCCCAAGCCTCGTTTGTTGCACCCCCTCTCCCCCCCCCCCCAGATTGCAATAAGGTTCGTTCAGCTTCACTATCCATTGGCTTGAACTCTGCTTTGACAAGCTCCACGCCTCCATTCGATCGTCCCTGCGAGGGTAGGGGGGCGAGGCCTCAGGATTTGTGCCCAACAGGGAAATGTTACAGAAAGATTGCCATATGACATTTGGCAGCATTTACGATTCTGGCGCAACGAAGACTTACGGTTGTCAATGTTTTTGCCCCTCTTAAACGCAGTTCACACTTGCCCGTAAGGTCTGACGGTGACGGGCCCGACACCGTCAAAACGGCCGAAACTGACGGAGCGACGGCCGTCAGGTCGACGGGCATGTGTGAACCGGCAGCGTTTGACGGCCGGCAACAGCTGACTGCGCCGGCGCCGGACCTGACGGCCGTCGCTTTGGAAAGTTCAGCAATGTTCAACTTTTGACGGTGACGGGCCCGTCGGTTTGGATGTCTGCGTGTTGGAGGAAGGGGAAAAGGAACGTTCTCATGCAGCATGAAGTTTAAATGCATTTTTAAGAGCATTTATACCATTTTCTATCCGTTTGTTGAGATGAAAGTGTTTATTACGGCACGATATCTTGAGATTCGATCCCTGATTTAAGTCAGCGAACCGATGTGTCTTTCATTAAAATAAAATTGCAGCATTATTTTACATAAAAATGTAAATACGTGGTATTTAATTTCTGTAATTCAAAGAATATTTTTAACTTCTCGGCCTCTACCCTCCCCCATCCCCTTCTCCCATCCATCTGCGTCCATCTCGGAGACTTTTTTTTTTTTTTTTTTGCTCGGTCGGCCTAGTGCCATACCCGAGCAGGGGGCAGTTACTCCGGCAATTTTCGCCGGGCAGCAAGTCTTACGTTGGAAATGGTGCGCCATTTCTGTCACAGCATATGGCAACCAATGGGAGCTACCAAATCTCAACTTTCGTTTGACGGGCTGCAGGCCGTCAGGTCGACGGTGACGGGCCCGACACCGACAGACTGACGGTCATGTGTGAACTGCGTTTTAGGAGGAGGTAGGGTTAATTTACGTTGCTAATTTTAAAAGTGTTTTTGTTGTTTTTGTCTAAAAAATTGTTGAAATAAGCTTAAATGTTTCCTTTCTTACTGTGCCTTGGGCTTTCTGACTTTATTTAGTAATACTCCCTTGTGGGCTTTGTGTCAAACTCGAATACCCGCCTTTCGTCGGTGCGTGAGTTGAATACTTAGATTATTAAATACACCTAGATTATTAAAAACATCTAAGGTTTTAGAGGGAGATCTCCGACTAATCACTGAGTTCCTCACCTGTCCTTGACCTGATAGGACCTGCGCCACAATTGCCCCATGCCCTCTGGCAGCCCTAGAGGTAGTGGTTTGAAAGCTTGAGAACTTGAAAGATACAACTCAGAAGAAAATTAGCTAAGCAATTAGTGGAAAGAAGACAACTAAAAAATAAAGCAACCTAAAAAGTAAGAAGGACTTACTTTTGATTTAGATGTCAAGTGGTGTGAAAAACAAGACAAAAGCGGCGCCCGCTGGCGCTGCGCCAGGAATGGACCAAGAAAAACACAACGCTGGAGATACAAGAGATCCAAAGGAGCGTGGGGGACAGTTCTCTATATACCGTGGTGGGGGAGAAGAAGGTGAAACGCCGGGTTCGATGAAAAAGGTAAAGACAGCATACACATGCAAAGGAGGTAAGAAAGCATGTGGCTTATCTATTTCAGACCAAGATGACTCAGTTAGCTGTGATTTGTGTGAAGAGTGGTTTCACCCCAAATGCCAGGGGCTGACGATCGAGGCATTCAGGGCTTTGAACAAATACAAATACGATTTTATCTGGGTTTGCTCGGGCTGCAAGCCCAATTTCGTGGGAATGCCAAAAATGGGAAAACAGCTTGAGAGTAGGATTGAAAAAGCAGAGCAAAACATTTTGTCATGTATATCTGCTCTTGAAAAAAAGCAGCCTGCAGGTGATGAAGGAGTTCGGGTCCAGGGACAGCTGGCCAGGCTCGAGAAAACCATCACAGAGAAAATACAAGCCCAGGAAGCTGAAATGAAGAAGTCAATCAAAGAAAGCACAGAAGTAGTGCAAACTCTACCAAAACTACAGACAGAAATGGCAAAGAGCACAAATGAGTTAAGGAGACTTATGGAAAAAAAGGAGGATAAAGCTCAAAGAGAATCCAACATCATCATTCACAACATACCTGAAAGCAGGGCAAGTGATCCGGAGAGCCGGAAGAAGTATGATTTAGACAGCTTTGACAACATCGTGAGTGCACTGCTCGGGGAAAGGGAAGAAGTCAAGGTAAACAAGATCTTCAGACTCGGAAAGAAAAGGACGCAGGAAGATGGGGAGGAAGAACCCAAGCCTCGACTTCTTCTTGTCAGCCTTAAAAACAAAGAGGATGTCGATTCACTGATGAAGAGAAGATGGGACTTGAAGGATGTTGGGTTTAACAATGTGTACCTGACACATGATCTATCACCAGAAGAACGGGAAGAACAAAAAAGGCTGAGGGAGGAATTGACCAGAAAAGGAAGGGAGAACTACAGGATCTTTCGGGGGAAGGTCGTCCCCAGACACTAGGCAAGTAGGTTCAACTTGTCAAATGAGTTGCTTGTATACAAATGCAAACTGTTTGAGCAATAAGCTTAGTGAATTAAGAGGCAGGTTAGACAAGGAAAAACCAGATGTGATGGGTATCACTGAAGTTTGGCAAAAGCATGACTTTGAAATAAATGGCTACCAGCAGGTGCGAAAGGACAGGAAGGCAGGTCGGTTGGGAGGAGGTGTGGTTATATTAGTAAAGGACTGCTGGAAGATTGAAGAATGCAATGATTTAAACGAAGACGCTATTGATGACTGTGTTTGGTGCAAAATCAGAATCGGCAAACATGCCTGCCTACTAGTAGGAGTTTGTTACAGGACACCAAGTAATACGCCAGAAGACAACACAATATTGAACAACCTACTGAAGAGAGTGCCAAATGTAAATGCCAGGAACGTATTGATCATGGGAGACTTTAATTTCAGACAGATACATTGGGAAAGTCAGACAGTTGAGGGAAGTGAAGATTCAGAGGAAGCAAAGTTTCTTGACACTATACAAGATCTTTGCCTCTATCAGCATGTGCGTCACCCTACTCGTTTCAGAGATGGACAGGATCCATCCAGACTTGACTTGGTATTTACAGATGAGCAAGGGATGATTGAGGAGGTCAACATAGGGGACCCACTAGGGAAAAGTGATCATGCTGTCCTATCGTGGACCCTTTTCTTGGGAGAAAAACCTGATAGAATGGCAATTAAAAGTAAGGCAAGCCTGAACTTTGCAAGAGCCAATTTCCCAGGGATCAGGGAAACACTAGAAATTGTTGATTGGAATATGCTAAATGATATGACAGTAGAAGATATGTGGCATTGCATCAAAGAAAGGATTAACAAATGTTTTGAAACCCTAGTTCCAAAGCACAGTAAAAAGTCAAGCAAGAAGGCTGCGCCCTGGTGGAACAGGGAACTAACCAAGGCGGTGAAGCTCAAACATGATGCCTGGAAAAAATATGCTATATCCAAGTCAAGTGAAGATTATAAAGAATACACCAGGCAGCGTAATATCACTACTGGTAAAATCAGGAAACACAGACACAACTATGAAGCAGCATTGGTCAGAACAGTCAAGCAAAATCCAAAACAATTATACAAGTACATCAGGAGCCAGCAGAAGGTCAAACCAGCTATACATGCAGTTGAAAATGGTACAAGCTTGACCTCAAATGATCAAGAAACTGCTGAAGCCCTGCAAGATTTCTTCAAATCTGTTTTTGTGAAAGAGGGTGATACTCCTCTACCAGACTTCGAGGAGCGCGTGCAACCTGAGGCAGCCATCACAGACATTGAGATGACTACTGAATCAATCAGAAACGAACTTGTCAACTTATGTGAACAAAAAGCACCTGGTCCTGATGGTATCCCCAGCATTGTGTTGAAGAGGTGTGCAGAGCAGCTAACTCGACCTCTTTACAAGTTATTCACAAAGTCACTTCAAGAAGGCCAATTACCACAAGATTGGAAGGATGCTAATATTGTCCCAATCCACAAGAAAGGTAACAGAAATAAACCAGGGAACTACAGACCTGTAAGCTTGACCAGCCAAGTTGGAAAAGTGATGGAAAGGTTGATTAAAAGGAGTGTGACAGCTCATCTCGAGAGAAACAACCTCCTGAGCCAACAACAACATGGTTTTGTATCCAAGAGGTCTTGTCAGACCAACCTGCTGGAGGCCCTCGAACACTGGACGAAAGCTATTGATGAAGGACGAGGTGTGGATATACTGTACCTGGACTATCAAAAAGCATTTGACAGTGTACCCCACAAGCGACTGATGAAGAAACTCTACGGATATGGTATCAAGGGAAATGTATTGACTTGGATTAGTGCATTTTTGACAAACAGAAGACAACGAGTGGTGGTAGGGACAGATCACTCTGAATGGTGTTCAGTCATCAGTGGGGTCCCCCAAGGGTCAGTGTTGGGACCAGTCCTGTTCATCATGTTTGTCAATGAGCTGCCAGATCTTGTGCGCAGCAACATGAAAATGTTTGCGGACGACGCCAAGATATACAGGCCTATTCAAGCAAAACAGGACGCTGAGATTCTCCAACAAGACATATCACTTCTGCAGAAATGGTCTCAGGACTGGCTTTTGAGATTCAATGAGGCAAAATGTAAAGTGATGCACTGTGGCTCGAACAATCCAAGTGTAGACTACTTCATGTCAGATGGCACAACCAGTAAAAAACTACAAGTCAGTACCATGGAGAAGGACCTAGGAGTTTACATCACAAACAACTTGAAGCCATCAGTCCACTGCCAGAAAGCTGCTTCTAAGGGTATGTCGGCCCTACGTATGCTAAAGCAAGCATTTGATAGACTGGATCTCGACAACTTCAAACCTCTGTTCACCACCTACGTCCGCCCACATCTTGAATATGGTATGCAGGCTGTTGGCCCGTACACTGCAAAGGACATCAAGCTGCTGGAACAAGTTCAAAGGAGGGCGACAAAGCTTGTAAAACCTTTAAGGAGCACACCCTACCCAGAGCGCCTCCGCAGTCTTGGACTTCTTAGCGTAGAAGACAGACTGCGTCGAGGCGACCTCATTGAAACATACAAGCTCCTGACAGGGAAGGTTAAGGTGGACAGTGATCAGTTCTTTGAAATAGACCATGAAGACCGCACGAGAGGGCATCATCTGAAGCTGAAAAAAGGCAGATCAAGTCATCTATACAGGCTGAAGTTCTTTTCAAACAGAGTAGTTAATGACTGGAACGGATTGCCTAGAGATGTGGTGGAGGCTACTTCTACAAACATGTTCAAACGAAGACTAGACCAACACAGGGCTGCCAAACCTGCATCCTCACGCCACAACTGACCTTATGGCTCATTTCCTAGTCCGGCTCGATGTGAGCATTGAATAGACCTAGTCTACTACAGCTCACTATTGCTCAACTTCAACTTCAACTTCAACTATAAGGTAGCCTTTAGAGGTATTTTCCACATATTTCAGAACACTTCACGCAAGTATGAGTATTTCAGAGCATCACAGAAATCGAAAATCTTCGTCACTTGCGATGAAACTTAGCCTCACGACACTTTGATCTACCTTTATACATTTATTGATATCGCACAATTTGGTTTGTATTCTTTCACAGCTCATTCCATGATGGGTCCCGTACCTGCTGCTATCCAGGAACGACTGCAGAATTTGACAGATTATGTAAAGCCCATTCTTGGTAAGTACCTTTCTAGGTATTTGAACATCATTAGACGATGTACACAACTTTTGGCTAATATTTGTATGCATCACTTCATTTTCTTTTTCAGTAACATTTGTATATGGACTTCCATGGTATAGTAGGTATGCCTTCATTTTCTCACTTTGGTTTTCGTGCTAAATGTTCTCCGACCGCCGTCTACATATGATCGAAAGGATCATTGTTCTTATATGTTTGGCTGACAACTTCTACAAATATTCGGCACTTGACCGCCGTTTTGTTCAGTGCGAAAATTGCCACCCACATAGATCACCCTGCAGTCTTCAAACGATGATTAGCTGGTGATCTAAATGGTGCGACAGTGAAATGATGTTTTTGCTGCATTTTCCCTTCGATACTGGTTTATAACACAGTCTGCATCCTGAGAAGGAACCTCTTGCCACCATGTCATTTTTTGTTTGTTTTTGTTTGAAAACATAGATCATGGCTAGAAAGGGACATTTTGGGTTCTGTAAGAAAACAAGATGGTCCTGACCTGTTACACCGGATTTACACGTACCTACTTAAGTTTGACTCGTCCGATGCTCCTCATGAGAAGACAGTGATATAGCGCTATAAATTTAGTGGTCTGTACTAATTTGCTTAGAAAAGAACTTCAAGGATGTCAGTAACGAACTCCCGGATTTGGTTGTTACTCGAACGGTGTTACGAAGAAAAAGCCCATGTCCCGTCCCTTTTGACCCTGTTCTATGTGGACTGTCAAATAACCGCTGACCAGGTCGGTCGCTGGGGGGTCGGCGCTGATCGAGCGGTGGCCGCCGATCGTCCGCCGACCGCCGCAGTGTCAGCTACATCGCCCTGGTGTCAGTCGCCGTCAGCGCTCCTCGTCTGCTGACAGCGGACGCACCGCGTTTTTACGCGCTCCGCTCACGGGCTGGGACGCGTGATCAGCTCGACCCTACTGTTACCTTTGCTTTGTGGCCTCCTATTTTATGTAAATCAGTGTTTCGACTTGATCTGTTTCGTGTGACCGTTCCCCGGTATATGTCCGCCCTTACGAGTGCAGCGCACACTCAGACTGCGTATATACAACCCTCCCCCCCCCGCGGACCGTGTCACTGACTCACCGCTCCGTGTCACAGGCGCCCAATGGCTCACACCTGTGTCCTTCTGCGCGCCCCGGCTCTGTTTTTCCCGCCGAGCGATCAGCTGTTCTCTCTGCGCACCTCTGCCGTGGCCCCGCGGGCACAATGCGCCGTTCACCCCCCCCCCCCCCTCCCCGTCCCCTCAGAGTACTGCCGCGCTCCCCAGCTGGGCGGGATAGGCTGAACCGTCCTGTATCCGACTGCAGTGGCTGGTTGTCCCCTCCCTCTCCCCCTCCTCAACGGCGCGGGGGGGGGGGGGTAGACCGACCTACCCTGCATCAGCCGACACAGCGCGCTGGTTGTCCCACGCCGGCTCACCCTCCAGCAGTGTGCCCACCTGGGCGGCGGCCTTGTACCCAGTGTGGGCACGAGGATGCACGGTGATCGGTCACGCGTCGCGCTGCTGTTGGAGGGGGGGGGGGGGGTACGGAGACTGTGCCGCGCCTGTTTGTTTGTGCCCCGGCCGCTGCTAGATGTCGCTGGTGTGCCGCCGCTCTCAGCGGTGACCGATTAGTGCTCGGGGAGACACCGGCCGCCCAGTCAGTCAGCGGGGCGCTGGCGGCGGCGGCGGGGCGGCGCTCTCTGGTTCCTCGCACCCCGCGGCCACTACAGACTCGCAGTCCCGTGAGACCACCTCCGGCCTGACCGGTCAGAGGACTTCCAGCACCATCGCTGCCGGTCCCTTCCCGGCGGGCCGCCCCCGCGTCTGTCCTCGCACCGTGCTGTGCCCCGGCCGGTGTACCGGCCGTCTCCCGGCGGGCCGCAGCTGCACCGTGCTGTGTCCCGGCCGGTGTACCGGCCGTCTCCCGGCGGGCCGCAGCTGCACCGTGCCCGGTCCCGCTCCCCGTATCCCCGGCCCCGTCACCATGTCGCAGCGTCCGAGCAGCTCGGGGCTGCGGCCGGTCGGCGGCGCCACCCTGGACCTGCTGGCCGAGGCGGCCGCCCACTGCGTGCTGAGCGTGACAGTGCAGCGTCTGCTTCCAGCCGGCTACCTGGACCTGGAGTACGCGTGGTGGCAGGTCTGGCTGCTGTGGCCCGTCATCGCGCTGCTCGTCATCCCCGCCTCGCTGCTGGCCTCCCTCTTCCTGTCGGCCTTCTTCGTGGAGTGCTACCGACACTGGTGAGTGGGCGAGGGGCGGCCGGACGCCGACTCCCCTACAGGCGATACGGGCCAGAGCCTAGCCTCCAATATGGAAAATACGGGAGAGCCTGGCTGCTTGTATGATACGGGAGCACCTCCCTCATTCTCCTAACATTTTAGACAATTACAGCATTCACAATTGGGAATTGTTATGCTATCATGCACAAGGCACACGTGATGCCCGGAGGTAGTTATGTATGTCTTATGATTACGTATTGTATGCCTTATGTGCACACTGCACACTGCACATACTGCTGGACTATCGTAAACCCGAACACAGGTGCTGGTGCAACAGGTGCTGTCCACCTCTACTGATCAGCGCCGTGGGATCGTTTCCGCTTGTGTTGCCGCTTAGCCGGTCGGTTTTCTACCTGTCGCATTTACCGGTAGTAGGTAACCTGTTATATCTAGTCCCGTGTTTCAGCTTCATTCATGAGATATCGGCTTTCAATTTCCCGCTTGCATTCTACATAAATGGTCGAATTTTGTCAAATTTAGTGTCACCAGGCCCCGTATCCCTGGATGTATACTGTATGTGTATGGGTTGTTGTCGGGCCACTGTTCTCTACCCTTCTGCTGTTTCATAGTGGCTGATTCTACGGCGCTACGCTGCTGCCCGTCCTGCCGGATGACCGTTTACCCACCGCAGGTATATGACGCTTATCACGGTCGGCCATATCAGTAGTGCTTAATCCCACACTGTAAAGCTGTCGGACTCTCGAGACTGTGGATTGGTCCTTTGCTATCGGCGTCTGTGAAGACCACCCTCCTTCCTGTTAATGGGAGCTTTATAATGCGAACCGATACGCTATCGGTATCGGTCTGGTGGATGCGGCACGTTTTTGGGGCACGTGACCCGTCCCGGGGATCGTTACTATGGACCAACTATTGCCAGCTATGAGCTGAGGTGGCCCCGTGTCCCGGCCGGCGCGGCGATCAGCTGGGGTGGGGCTGATTTTCACGGCGGCCTTTGAACTCCCACACTGACATGACGCCGATAGTACGCACGTGCGTACCTGGCGGGGCCCTGACCTATTGTCCCAGTCGGCGCATCAGCCGCCGGACGTCTGACTCGGGCCCCTGGTGTGTACAGCGTATGGTTTATGGCCGGGTCATGCACGGTCTCCGTGACCAGCGATAACACATGTATCAAATGTATGGGCGGGGGAGGGGCGACTTCTGGTAACCCAACGGCTATACGTCTTCTGTTTATATGTGGAGTCTATGAACTGACGCAAGATGAGTTTTTGCCTGTCCTGTTACCTAGCGTGCTCAAACAAGAACTGTACCTACTTGTACTGCCGCTCAGAACCCGTCCTGCGATTTCTCCTTCCCCGTGTTTTAGCTGAGGCGCCTCGGCCCATCTGAAGTCAGTTACACCTCTCCTGTGTATCTGTTGCAGGCACGGTCTGCGGGCCGCGTATGAACAGAGTATATGGGACGGCGCGTTACACCTCTCCTGTGTATCTGTTGCAGGCACGGTCTGCGGGCCGCGTGCGAGCAGAGTATCTGGGACGGCGCGTTACACCTGTGTATCTGTTGCAGGCACGGTCTGCGGGCCGCGTACGAGCAGAGTATCTGGGACGGCGCGTTACACCTCTGCTGTGTATCTGTTGCAGGCACGGTCTGCGGGCGGCGTACGAACAGAGTATCTGGGACGGCGCGTTACACCTCTCCTGTGTATCTGTTGCAGGCACGGTCTGCGGGCGGCGTACGAGCAGAGTATATGGGACGGCGCGCGCTACACAGTCTGCGTCTGCTGGAAGGTGCACGGCAGGATATGGCACGGTGAGTCCTGGCTGCGTCCGCTGGGTACTGGTGAAAGCAGCAAGTCAGGTGCCGACAAGGCGGTCTTCCCGTCAGCGCTAGTCGCTAACCACTCGAAGTTTTGTCAGATTTCCCCGGTCCTTCGTCATACCGTAGGAGGTGGCACATCATTTCTTGCTTTTATTTCTTGCTTTCTTACATTGCCCTTGGTTAGGAATCGAATACACTGAGTCCCTAGCAGTTCAATGAATTTGCTCAAAGTAATGCCCAATTGATGTGCCAATCGGTCTATTGGAACGCTAGTTTCCGTTCTAAAACAAAGCCAGCCCCGGGCAGCGGCGCTAACCGTTCGCCAGTACCAGAGAAGTGCTCGCAAAAAGGCGTGTCTGCGGGCGGCGGTCGGGCCGAGGGAGCGTGCTCAGCACTCCTCGCCCTGGTAACGGGGCGGACCTCACAGCGCCCTGCCGACTCGGGCCTCTGGTGCATGCCGACACAAACGCTGACGACGTATATCGGCTCTGTTTATTATTATTGACTGATGGTCACTGGGCAATGTCGAACATGCCGGGTCCTGTAAATTTGTCGGACGCTGCATAGTAACGGTATCCTATATTTCTTCCACTGCCGGAGTTTTCAGTATCGCTTCGAAACTTTTTCCTCATCCCAGGACGGTAGTACGACATGAGTGTTTCGGGACGTGAACTGAGCACGACTTAAAGCCGGGGGGGGGGGGGGGGAGTGACCTCAGAGGTCGTCGACGGGAGCGGGGTGGTGTGAACTAGTCCTTTGTGGCCTCGTGTCGTCTTCAGATTGGTGGCGTCTGGCAGCTAACGAATGTGTTTCGGGAAGGGCTGATGCAACCATGGCTCGGCTCGGACATGGAGCTGAATATTGATGTCGTTTGTGGCACGACCTGCTCACAGTCCGTGGTCCCCTACCGACCAATTTATCGCCCTACGGCTCCCAGTCACTGCGAGCTCCCATGGGCTGTCGCTTTTATCTGTATTCGTCCGGGGTGCCGTCTCCCAGCAACACCCACATCTCCCCGTCTGCCCACTAACCGCTCCCCTCCCCGTCTGCCATTGACCGCCCCCTCCCCGTCTGCCACTGACCGCCCCCCCCCCCTCCCCGTCTCTCACAGACCGCCCCCTCCCCGTCTGCCACTGACCGCCCCCCTCCCCGACTGCCACTGACCGCCCCCCTCCCCGACTGCCACTGACCGCTCCCCCTCCCCGTCTGCCACAGACCGCACCCCCTCCCCGTCTGCCACTGACCGCTCCCCCTCCCCGACCCCGACTGCCACTAACCGCCCCGTCCCCGTCTGCCACTGACCGTACCGTCTGCCACTGACCACCCCCTCCCCGTCTGCCACTGACCACCCCCTCCCCGTCTGCCACTGACCGTACCGTCTGCCACTGACCGCCCCCTCCCCGACTGCCACTGACCGCCCCCCTCCCCGACTGCCACTGACCGCTCCCCCTCCCCGTCTGCCACTGACCGCCCCCTCCCCGTCTGCCACTGACCGCTCCCCTCCCCGTCTGCCACTGACGGCTCCCCCTCCCCGTCTGCCCGCCCAGGGTACGAGGTGAGCGGCCTGGAGAACCTGCCGTCGGGCCCGGCCATCATCGTGTTCTACCACGGCGCCATCCCGATCGACCACTACTACCTGCTCTCGGAGGTGCTCACCAGCAGCGGCCGGCTCATCAAGACGGTCGGCGACCGCTTCCTCTACAGGATACCAGGTCAGTTGCCGAGCGGGCCAGTGTGACAGACACGGTCGGCCACTGCTGCCTGTAGTGTACACAGTACAGGATATTACCCGGTCAGTCGCCGAGCGGGGCGGGGTGGAAATTCTGACCTGACCGGTCGAGCTGAGACGCGGGTGGGGGTCTCAAAGTTTGAGCGTCGAATGGAATGCTGTACGTTTGCAGCCCACATTATAATGTGCTTTATCCGGTCCTAACGTTAAAGTGGGTGGGTCTCGCGCTGTCAGCTGACTCTCTGAGAGGCCAGCAATACCAGCATCCTCCGTCGTCCGGACGCGGCGGCGGTGGCGGCTCTCGGTACCAAATGTAGATGACCGGCGCGGGACGCCGCTGCCGGGGCTCTGATCACGCGCCGGGCTCGTGGCCGCCAGCACGGTACGGTCACGATGGGAGCACGGGGCGGCGATCCAATCCCGAACCGCGCCGGACACACTGCTCACCCCGCTGCCGCTGATCAGCCGAATACAGCCGCATGCATAATGCAAGGATCTGCGGAGTGAACCGTGCCGCGCTGGATGGTTGTTATCCATGGCGGCCGCGTGTATCCCATTTCGCACGTTATGCTCATTTCCATGCAGCCAACCAGCATCCGTGTCTGCCGCCTTGCTACAGGCTGGAGCCCACCTCCCGCCTGTTGTCCCGGGACAGTACGTAACCCGCGCCCGCTGTGCTCCTGCAGGCTGGAAGCAGCTGATGAGCGTGTTCTGCGTGATCCCTGGCGGCCAGGCCAACTGTCTGGCGGCGCTGCAGCGCGGCGATCTGCTGGCCATCTCGCCGGGCGGCGTGCGCGAGGCCTTCTTCGGCCAGGGCTACCGACTCGTCTGGAAGGACCGCGTCGGCTTCGCCAAGGTGGCCGTCGAGGCCAGAGTGGTGAGTACGGCCGCGCCGCGAACGACCCGCCGTCCGCGGCGGCGGCGCTCCGCTGACTGGGCGCCTCCAGGCCGTGCGTCAGCAGGCTGTCACTGATGAGCTAACGTTGAACTGTTGTACTGACGTTTAACGGATAAATTACTGGTATTGAAGCGGTGTTTAACAGAATGGGCTATGTTCAACAGTTTACTGGTCAGACTCAGGCCAGCAAATAGGAGCGTTTTCAATGCTGTCTGAGCCGTGCGGACGTGGGTTTCGTTCTCCTTAGACATGCCCTCCTGCTTCAGCGTTTGAAATTCCGCTGACGGCTCTGCCCAGCTGCCGATAACAGGACGGGTATCGAGTTTGTGCTGCGTCTTACCGTACTTGTCGAGCATGATCTCAGTGTCGGCGTGAATCACTGTCCTGTGTTCGAGTGGTACCGTCAGTACTGCCCCGGGCTTGGCTTCTGTTAATGGACGGATAGATCAGCCGGGCAGAAACCGTGGTTCTGATAGCTCAAATTCAGACCTAGAGCAAAGTGAGAGCATTACAAAATAATGCTCTTGACGTACCTAGTTACAATTTACATGAGTCAATTCATATGCCTATCTGTGAAAACCAACGCATTATATGTGATTAGTGATTTTCAGGTAGTTCTTTTTTACGAGAATCGTGCCTATTCGCTTACTGTGGGCAATACCATTCAAACTGTCTGTGTGTCTGCTTACTAATAAGCGCGCTCCCAGTTTGACGTTACGCGCTCCCTTCGCTTCCCTGTCGTTGGGGCGTTTTGTCTACCGTTCGGAGAGTCGGGTTCTGGACCACGCTGCTGATTGAGTAAAATGGAGAGGGATTCACATACCAGTCTCATTCTGTTACTGCTAGCGCGGTACTTAGTTCTGTCATTGATCCATACGAGAGTTGTTCCACCAACCAGTGCCAGGGGCCACCTCTTCTCCTGTTTGCCCTGACCCCCCCCCCCCCCCCCCCCCGATCCATCCCTCCCCTCCCCCGGCGCCCCGCTCCAGCCCTCCCTCCCCCGGCGGCCCGCTGCAGCCCGTCCGCCGCCCTACCCTCCCCCATGCCGCTGCCCTGACGGCCGCCTTTCGGCCGCAGCCGATCGTGCCCATGTTCACGATGAACGTGCGCGAGTCGTACCGCTCGTTCGTGGTGGGCCGCCGCTTCTGGACCTGGCTGTACGAGCGCACGCGACTGCCGCTCGTACCCATCTACGGCGGATTCCCGGTGAAGATGCGGACCTACCTGGGCCGGCCCATCCACCACGAGGAGGGCACCACGCCCGAGCAGCTGGCGCTCAAGGTGAGGGAGGAGAGGACTGATTGGCTGGGAAGGAATCGCTGGACAGGAGACAGCTGACTGCCACAAGGCCAGCTGTGCTAACCACTGTGTCCCACGTATTCTGATCCCCGTGCCCGGCCTCTGCTGGCCCTGTGCACCCCCCCCCCCCCCCCTGACTTCCCCAGTGTCCGGCCGGCGGCCATTGAATCCACTGTGCGCGCCCCCGTCCCTCGGCTGCCACTGACTCCTCTGTGTCCCCCCTATCCAGGTCCAGGTGGAGATTAACCGTCTGATCGAGGAGCACCAGAAGCTGCCCGGCAACATCCTGCGCGGAGTCCTGGAGAGGATCATCGAGTGGCCAAAGTCCAAGGCCTCGTAGCGCGGCGGGGCGGACCGGGACGCGCGGCCCGCCCCAGCTGCAGCAGGACCGCCGTCCGGCGGACCAGTGCGGTAGGGTCTGAGCGTCTCCGGACGTACCGGGCCCGGGAGTATGTACCACGCGGTGCCTTAGTGACGGGGCGCCCCGTGCAATACTGTAATCGTGCGCCCCGTGTCCGCGCGGAGGTGGCCTGTAAGTTACGAGCTTCTGCGGAGATTAGCGCGGAGCAGCCGGCCAAAGAGCGCAGCTGTTGGAGCGTCGGGAGGCGCCGCCCGGCGGAGATGCGATGTGAACTGTGTTACATATCAGTAGTGGGACCGCGCAGACGGGACGCGTCGGTCGGCCGCGCTTATGCAATAGGGGCGGGTCCCTGCCGTCCCCCGTACCGTGTCTACTGTAGAACCCGCAGTATAACCCTCGCCGTACGCGGACACCGGACCCGGCCAACCGATCTCAGCCGACCCAGCCCCGCCCAGCGGCCATTTACACACCTCGAGGGGCGCGGCCTGTCCAGGGGTCCGCCATGTTCTGTACACACCTAGGAGCGGGGCCTGCCCGTGGTCCGCCATGTTCTGTACACCCCTAGGAGCAGGGCCTGTCCCGGGGCCTGCCATGTTCTGTACACCCCGTTGCGGCGTATTCGCCGAGTCGGGCGGTGTTTTTTTAGTATTGTCCGTGTAATGGGTGACGGCGTGTATAACGCGGCTGCAGTTGACGCCTATATCCCGTGTGTGACCGCCTGTACCGTTTTGTGAATTATGTGTATGTGAGAGTGTTCCTCAGTCATTCCCCAGTGTTCCGGAGCAGCGGGGCTGCCACAGGGTCGGTGCTATGAGGGCCAGAGTGGCCCATAGGAGGTGTGTCACGCTGGCACACGTGACGGTGTATGCAGTGTTGGTGTCTTGGAGGCGAGCCCCTGGCTGTCTGAAATACATATACGACATGATGAGTGGTCTGCGCGGCTGTCCAGTGGCTCAAACTACCGCCGTACGGCTGTTTTTGTGCGAGTATAACCCCTTTGGAAGCACGCCCGGCCGACCAGTACTCACAGTAGCCTCGAGCGCACCAGCTCAGTCCCAGCAGTAGGAGGGGCGGGAGACTGAGCTGCTGGACTGTATTGCCACTGTTGGACAGCAGGAACGGTCGTGTCACCGCTCCATAACGTGTCTTCGTGCGAGTTCAGAGTTCACACTGTCAAAGGCTGCGTCCGTCTTACCGAGCTGCACCAGCCGAAAATATGCGGCTGTCACAGCGCGCGGCCGGCAGCGGCGGCGGCACGGTAATTTGTACTCGGTGCGTGTTGTACCGAGTCTGTTGTACTGGGGGGCGCCCCCCCCCCCTGCGGTCCCGGTCGACACGCAGTCTGGAGCGCAGCGGTGTTGTACCGTCCGCAGTCTACCGGGCGGCCGCAGCATTGTGCCGCGCCGGCTGCCCGCAGCGCCGCGCCATTGTGCTCGCCGAGATCAGGTACCAGACGACCGGGGCTCCGCCGACGTGTGAGGGCAGCTCCGACGGACGGCCGCCGGCCGGCCACCACGGCCCGGGCCGACCACCCCACATCGCCTCCTGGCCCCGGCAGGCTACCGGCCCATGGCATCCCGCGGGGCCCGGCAGTCCGATCCCAGTTAAACCAGCACACTCAGTCTCTCTCACTTGGCTCGCGGTCCCGCCCGTCGGAGGCGGTTCCGCCGCGGCTGCAGTGGGCTCGATTCGAGCCGTCCACAGCCGGCCGGCACGGCCAGACCCGGTGAGTCCCGCGCGGCGGACGGACGTTCCGGCCTTCTCAGCCGTCCGCGTCCGCTCCGTATATCGCCTGATTGCGGCGCTTGAACTTCTTGGCCGGCGTGACGGCAGGAGAGTCTTTGGCCGGCGTGAGGTCCGGCGAGTCTTTGGCCGGCATGAGGTCCGGCGAGTCTTTGGCCGGCGTGGCTGTGACCTTCCCCGCGATCTCCGGGAACGAGATGGGCACGGCCGGCCGGCCGCGCGCCGGGTTCAGGCTCAGAAAGTCGGCCGGCGGCGCGCGCGGCGTGCTCGTCCCCTTGCGGTCGATGACGAACATGTCGTCCTCCCCGACGTCGTCGTCGTCGATGCCGATTTCGGCGGGATCGGCGGCCGGCCCGTCCGGGTCCAGCGTCAGGTCGCCGTCCAGCGTGATGTCCGCCTGGGCGGGGTCGGCCGGCGGCGGCGGCATCGGCCCGGCGACTGGCGGCGGCGCGCTGCCGCACAGCATCTCCATCGGGTCCTGGGAACGGCCAGGGGGGTTAGACGGGATAGCGGCGGGCAGCGGCCGGGGCACCCACCTTCAGACCCCGCGTTACAACTGCGAAAGGATCATTGCGAGGCTTACAGGTGGGATTAAACACTGAACAGACAAACGTAAAAACTTCCACCCACCTCGTCCCACCAGCCACCCTGTCTCCCCCCTCCCGTACCGGGTCCCATCCCGTCCCGTCCGGTCCGTCCGGTCCGTACCCGGACCCGCAGTCGGCGGCAGAAGCGGCTGGTCTGCGGGTCGGTGGCGGCCGCCGGCTGACGACCCGCACGGATGTCCGAGCGGCCGTCGTACGGCGGCGCCGTCACCGCAAAGTCGGCCGGCACGCGCAGCTGCTCGCCCCAGATGGCGCGCGTCTCGGCCAGCTCCTCGGCGCTCGGCCGGAAGTCGAACCTGGGAGGGACAAACAGACAGTCACGGCTGTGCCGGCGGCCAGGCCCGGTCAGCCAACTCCTCAGCGCAGACGGGTCACTGACACTGCCCGACCGCGGGAAGACAACGCCACTGATTTTTAACATCGCACCCAGTGTGTTCTGTCTGCAGCCGTGTGTGGGCTGTCTCACCTCTGGCCGCAGCCGGGGCCGGGCATGTACTGCGTGCCGCTCGACACGCTCGTCAGGTGGTCCGTCAGCCGCAGCACCGTCAGCCACTCGAGGTCGTAGCTGAGCTCCGGCGCGCCGTCGCCCAGCTCCAGGATCTGCATGTAGCGCCGCCGCGGCAGACACTTGTCCAGCGCCAGGAACCGGGTCGTGCGGCCGCCGCCTGTCGCCGGCGGGGCCGCGGCGTCCGGGCCGGCGGCGGCGGGCGGCGGGTCGCCCACCTGGCGGCCGTGCTCGACCAGCGCCGAGAACTTGACGTGCAGGTGAGCGGAGAACCAGAAGCGCGGCTGCAGCCGGTGCAGCAGCTCCTCGGCCGGCCGCGAGCCCAGCTTGTTGGACTCCACCTCCTCCCTGAGGAGAGAACGGGGCAGCAGTGCAATGGGGACTCCACCTCCTCAGGGAGCGGCGGGGCAGCAGTGCAGTGGGGACTCCACCTCCTCAGGGAGCGGCGGGGCAGCAGGGCAGTGGGGACTCCACCTCCTCCCTGAGGAGGGAGCGGCGGGGCAGCAGGGCAGTGGGGACTCCACCTCCTCCCTGAGGAGGGAGCGGGGCAGCAGGGCAGTGGGGAGTCCACCTCCTCCCTGAGGAGGGAGCGGCGGGGCAGCAGTGCAGTGGGGACTCCACCCCCTCCCTGAGGAGGGAACGGGGCAGCAGTGCAGTGGGGACTCCACCTCCTCCCTGAGGAGGGAGCGGCGGGGCAGCAGGGCAGTGGGACGCCGGCACGGACGGCGCTCGGGTGGGTTCGAGCCGCGTTCGACTGGCTCAGAGCACACCGCCACAGCCGTCCGGCAAACACGGGACTGGTGAAACAGAGGAAACCTTGTGGATTCAATGTATGAATTAATGCTTCAAACAGCGACTGAATGGGCGTATCTAAGCAACTGAATAAATACTGGGACGGTATTTACAAAGTCGTCAGCCGTGGAGGCGGACGTGGTATCCGTGCCGCGAGGCCGGCGCGTTCCTCACCTGAAGAAGGGCTTCTTGCTGAGCAGCTGGTTCACATCGCCGTGGTGGTAGACGCCGCGCGGCCAGTCGTGAGATATGAAAATATCCATGTCCGGCGTCAGCTGAAAAATAAAACGCAGAACTGGAATTAAGCCCACGTTTGAAAGGTGGTGAGAAGAATGATAAAATATCATCATCTGAACGACGGTCTGGCACTACTGTAGGTAGCCATTGGCAGCACTTAACGGAATGCTAATATACAAAATAACCAGGGATGGGGAGCCGCGGAAATTTCAGACGGCTCCTGCTCCGGGTGAAATGCCGTGGCAGCTCCGGCTCCGAGTAAAATAGTCCGGCTCCGGCGGCTCCGGCTCCAATACCTACTCAGTACATCCCCATCCTCAATACTGTACATTACATCCCCTATGCAATTAAATACGTGTGGAAGAAAAAATATGGGATTGGTGCACGTTGCTTCTGTATTTGCATAACAAAGCCATTTTCATATTTTGAATACCGCATGTTTTACTGCCTTGAACTGAACTGTCAAACCGAACTAGGTCAATAATTTTTTCCTCTTCAAAAAAAGGAGCCGGAGTCGCCCCCTTTTTGACGGCTCCGGCTCCGGGCAAAATATGCCGGCTCCGGCTCCGCACCCCTGAAAATAACTAATCCAATGTAAAAACCTACAGCATACTTGTTCTGTCCCTCACGGAAAACACTGCTATTTAAACTATCATTGGCGCCGGGTAACGCGGCGACTCCGTGGCGCAACGGTAGCGCGTCTGACTCCAGATCAGAAGGTTGCGTGTTCAAATCACGTCGGGGTCACGGACTTTTAGCGAGCTGATGTTCCGTTGAATAGGCCAGAACCGCCTCCCGACGCACAGTGAATGATAGCTTCGCGTAGACGAACCACCCGACCCAGGATACTCAGCGACAGTCTCCTGTATCCCATCATCTCTTCGGCAGTAGTATTTATGTACCCTGTGTTACCACACATGTTTTACTGAGAAGGATTATTTAGGCGGGATGACGAGCCAGTGGCGAGTCACGGAACTGCACACCCGCGTCGCCGGTCTGATCCCCAGCCGGCGCGGCGCGGCGCTCACCTGTTTGAGCCGGTAGGTCTCGACGTTCCGCACGTGGTAGGCCGAGCGCATGGTGCTCCTGTCGTAGGGCGGCCGCTCGTGGTGGCCCTTCAGGTAGTCGTGGCCGTTGTAGATGCCCGACAGAGCGCCGATTCGCAGGCTGCCGAAGCGCAGCACGCTGGCGTAGCCGACAAAGTAGATGTTGGGCGCTAGCCAGCCGCCGTGCGCCAGTGCCTGCATGTAGTTGGAGGCCTCGTGGTTGCCGCCGACCACCAGGGTGAGGACAGGGGCCCGCAGCTCCCCACTGTAGTACCTGAGAACACCCGGATGGTAAGGAGCTGTGGGGGTTCAGGCACCTGAAATCCACACTCTCACCATGTCAGCTTGGCCTTGAGCCCACAACACATTATAGGGTCAAGGTCACCTACTTTGGAGTTGCAAATAAGCACACAGTTCTCCACCCATGATCAGCAATGCTTTGGCATCTGGTCACGTTAAAAAAACATATTAGCAATACCTAGCTCAAAAACAAGAGAACAATACCAAAATCAGTTATTTTCATTTAGTTTCAGATTCCTTTCACTTAACCCTAGAACGCCTAGGGGGGGGGGGTTGTATCAACCCCCCCCCCCCTGAGGTTTTTTCGGAGTGTACGCTAAACGGCTTGTCGTAGCGGGCTGAAATTTTCAATACCCTCTGGGGCAACCTTTGCGCATCTTTTGCCGAAAAAAAAATTGATCGGGTCATGTCAGGTCACGGAGTTATGACGTCATAAGAGGTACAGCCTCCGGCCGGATTTTCACAAACTGAGTGCCAACGCCCGAGGTTTCCTGTCGGTGGTACGGACATCGGTTGATGGATCGTGATGAAACTTCCCATGCATGTTGGGGCAAGTATTGGCTATCATATGGTATAAGAAATTTGACCGGGTCAGGTCAGGTCACGGAGCTATGACGTCACAAGAGGAACAGCGTCCGGTACTATTTTTGAAAAGCGCCCGAACCACTATTTTGCTAATTCTTGTCACCTCAATGGGAATATGCAGCAATATTAGCTTCTATAGGGAGCAAATGGACCTCCCAAATCCAAAAATACAATCAGATTTCAAAAATTTAAATTTTGATTTTTCGAATTTCTGCCGCCGACTGTGACCTTGCCGACTTCCGGCGCTCCCAACGCGCCATTTTTAGAGCTAGGGAAACGAAATACATACCAAACGATAGAGAATTGATCAAGGAACACGATAGTGAAGGTTTCAAGTCGATATCTCCCACCGTTTTGCCGCAATCGCCGCCGAAAGTTGAAAAAGGTCTATTTTTCCGAAAATTTGACCTTTGACCGGTCAAAAGTAGGTCAAATGTTGACCTAGGACCAAAAAATATACCACCAATCGCGAGATCTCGTTGAGAGCAATCCGTTGGTTTTTTCCGCTAAGCTCTACGACCTTCCGTTTCGAAACGCCAGGGGGGGGGTCGTAACAACCCCCCCTGGTCGTTCGTGTTATGAGAAATGGCCTGGTCGTGCGAGGGTTAAAGAAACATAAAACGGTGTTCAACTTACTTGTAAAAGGTACCCATGGTGTAATACTTTGGTGGAACTGCCATGCACTGCAGGTCGTCTGGATTTCTTGTGGCTTGAAAGTCACCGCAAATGATGAGAAGGTCCACCTTGATGGAGCGAGCCTTCTCCACATGCTGAATGCCTGCATAGATGCCATCTAGCTCTCCATGGCCACAGCCCTCCACAGCTATGTACATTGCAAATCACTGTAAGGAGAACAAAAACACTGAGACCGATTTATGTGAATTCTTAGGAACCTAGGTTGGTTGTACTACAACTTTAAAAGAAGAAATCCCTGTGGCCTGTGATGTAAAATGTAGGTAAGCCAGATAAGGTAGCCAGGTTTGATTTTTTTTTAGTGCATTTAGGGGAATCTGGAAATGATAAGAGCTGGGTGTTCTGACACTGAGTGTTGGTTTTTAGTTGTGTGGCCTGAGATAGTATAAAATAGGTAAGACAGACCCGTTTCAAGGTGCTGAGCTAGGTACAGCTTGCATGCGTGGCAGTGTATTGGGTTTCCATGGAAACAGCATTGCAACAAACTCGGACGCTTGCAACAATGAAGTGTCATGGCGCGATCGTTGCACATGCTGCACCAATACTGAAGTGCAGCGTAGCACATTGTATCGGAGGGCCAAGAGACGGCCCAGGAAAGAAGTTTTTCACAACGACAGGCAACAGTGTTAATTGCTCCTAAAAATGCTTTCTTTGAATCCATTGAATATTGATGGTATTTTCAGGGCCACCCAAAATTGTTACCTAATGAGCGAAATGAGGGAAAAACAAGAAGATGGGTTACTTACTTACCTAGGTACCTAGCGTACTCCGCAGCTTCATGAAATCAGTAGGCGGAACTATGGTCAAGCGTACCCATTTTCGGGAACGCATTTTCGTTCCCATGTTTGGGAACGATAAACCCAAATATGGGAACGCCATGTAGGCATTATTTAAAACAAGAAAAAGAACCGTTAAATGACGTCCAAAAAATATAAAACGATCGTGAACCGCCTGATCGTTGTCTCAATATTGTTGGGAAAGAGTTTGATATTGTAAGGCCCATCGTAGTTTCAAATCGTTCCCCTATTTCTAAAGCAGTCCATCACCCGGGCCGCGAGCCCAAATTTGGGAACGCTCTCGTACACTGGCGCTGCAAGCGTTCCTTATTATGGGAACGGCGTACCCAAAATTGGGAACGATTTCACCGACGCCTTTCAGGGGCTCTTTTCATTAACAAGCATCACGTCCAACGCCGCAAATTATTGGTAACGCAACAATCATCAGATGACCTTTCCGGCAAGACCGTTGCATGTTTCGCCCGGTCTTCTGCGCTTTTATTCCCGTCGATCTCGCAGCGGGCACGCCCCCCTCTGCAGGATTACGTAATCCACAACGCTCAGCGATGTTCAACAAGGTCTTCCATACCTATATCCACCGTCCGCGCCGAGGGTGGAGACATGTCAAGCACCTGTCTGCTAATCACCGAGAGTTGACGAGCACAAGAAGTATCCAAAAATGGGAACGCTGAATATGTTACACCCTCAAAACACCTAGTCCCAATGAAAATCTAGTTTTTTCCTTTCTTAATGAGTGAAAGTGGCAAAAGGCCTGGTAGGATGGGCACGAGGAATGATCGAAATCAGCATAAAAATTATAAATAAGCCACACAGAGCGACCTATATCAGAGAAATTCCCCCCAAACGATCATGCTTAGAAACGCCGAAGACAAAAACCACGCTCATGACGCTGCTTATAAAATAACGCTAAACAGCTAGCATCCAAATAAAATATGTCTTTCCGGGCTGATAAGATACAGCTGAATGATTTTAAACCACTGAAACTGAGTTTACAACAGTAGTTCGGTAAAATCACTGACGTTCCACGCGGTCGTGCGCCCCGACACCAAAAGTCAACAATATTACCTCGGGACTGTCCGCGTGTTCGCTTGCATATGTCAGCATCTGGTGTCGCTAGAATGAAACTTCATAACCAGGCGAAAATTATTATACTTGACCTCAAAATGTAAAAAATGCTTCATTTTCCTTTAAATTGCATGTTAAATGTCGTATAACCCATATTTCCACCATTCTGTCATTTTTAAAAAATCATTAAAAATATCATTCCACGGTCAATTTCCTTGTTCCACGGTCAGATTAAAGATAACTTTATGGAGATTTAGTAGATACTTAAATCAGCGTGCACTTTTTTGAGACGTGATGCACTTTTGAGTTTTAGTGGGCGAACGGCCGAAAAATTGCCTTCCGTTCTCATAAATGGGAACGCCCGTTCCCATATTTGGGAACTCCGTTCCCAAAAATGGGAACGTTCCTATATTTGGGTACTCATGACCATAGTTCCGCCTACTGAAATAGAAAAAAAAATCTATTCAGAGCACACCTGCCTCAAGCTGGGCAGCATTGATGCCCTTGTGACCGGATACCTTTAAATAATTTCCACCATGATTTTGCCCCGAAATAAGTCATAAACATGCAAGTACAATAGAAAAACTAATCAACAACCATTAACCAATAAAATAAGAGAAACGTGGCTATGTTTTCGCGCTCGCCTCCCACCCGGAATTGTATCGATTGCGCCGTGTTCATAGTCATTGAAGCTTCCATTTCCTACATCAAATAAAGGGTTTCCTTCACAGATCTTGTGAAGCTTGTGAAGGAAAGTCCGTGAAAGCATGGATTACCTACTACCTGGATCGGCAACTCCGCGGAATTCCCATTGTATTGCGCGACCGCCCGAAAGTGCTGCCACCTATCGAGCAGACTGATCCCTGCTAAGGACAGCCCGCCGCCGCCGCCCAGTCAGACAGCGGCCGATACCAGCAAAGTCCGAAAATGACCGGCAAGTTACATGGCCTGAACCAGCCCCGGCTAAGTTTGGCATAGGCCAACAGTGTCGGGTTCCGGAAGAGCGGTCCAGGGCGGTTCCATAGACTATGTATCGTTTTGGAAAGAATGGTGTGGTGGGTCGTTTACCGAGCGCGACTGGCCGATTTTACCTCAGCACGTCGTATTGTTAGCTCTCATGGCCAGGCCAGGCGCCTTCTGCCAGCTGCCTGAAAATACCTTCGATCAAACGACGTTGTCTATCACTCGGGTTGCCCCTGATCAGCTTGAGCATTCCGACTCAGTCGTCGGCAGAGGGAATGTGCCGTCCGCCGTGAAACATCCATATCATTGCTACAGCCATTTTGACTGACTTATAAAGATCAAGACAAATGCTGTCATATCGATTAACGAACATCTGAATCACTTACAATTTCTATCAAGAAGCATTCCAGGATTATAAGCTTACCATACGCCGTTTCGTTAAAAAACTGTTTCCATATTGAACTTATATTTGCCGTCGCATGAGCGAATTGCCTACTGAGTACAGGCTGAAACCGACTCTTTCCGCAGTCAGAAATCATGTGCGAGACCGAGAGCCTATTCAAATAAACCCCGGTCGCACTCGCATCCATAACACGCACCTCCTTGCATGCGATTGATGCTATTGCAACTTAATGGATTTGAATAGGCTCTCGCGTGCGATTTCCTGACTGTGGAAATAGTCTGTCTCGGCCTGAAGTTCAGAATTTAACACAGGTTCAATGACAACTAAGGTGAAAGATGACACACAATGTATACAATGCATATTATTGCATAAACTGATAGGTAGGTTTCGAGAAACGACGTGCCACATGCCTACTAAACGGTGTCGTAGCACCAAGTTGGTTTCCAATTCACATCTCCCACCAGAGTATATCGGGAATAAATGCAAACACGATGCACACGAACGCATTATCCGCTCAATGGGTATGCCCGTATAGGGCGTAGTGGGTATGTTAGTCAGTTACAAACGCTGTGATAACTTAAACATTTTCGGTCGAGCCAGTTCACACCCCGTCCGCCTGCTGCCGTCACGTCACACGTGTCCGCAGTGGGCGTGCACCTGCGTGTGCGTGCATCCTAATTCACATCACAAATCACAGGATGCCAACTCAAGTCAGCACACCGTGGAAACTGAACCCATCTCTTTGATCTGAAACAAAGAGTGAGAGAGGGAAATTAGATACCTGAGCATACCATAATGAAAGGGAGAGTGAGGGCATTCCAAGGCAAACTGTTTCCCCACAACATCACACAAAAAGTATTTTACATTGCGATGATGTTGGCAAAAAAAAAAATACCTTGACAAGATACTACCAAACAAAAGTACCCAAAAGCTTAACACCTCATATGCTAGGCTTACATAGTTTAAAATGGCTTTGATCTTACTTAAATCTATCTGATATCTACACACAGCTTGGCTAACACTCGTTCTAAAAAAGTGATTGTTATATATCATTCAATGGAGGGAAACTCACAAACTTCTTCGTACAACTCTGGACCTTATGACTTTGAGAAGAGAAGGAAGCTGATGTCAGGGACCAGGGTCGGCACTCTTTTGTCATTTGTGGTTGACACTGGCTGCCGTTAGGCTTTCTTTTTACTGTCAAATGGTTCAGTTTTTCAGGCTGATAACATGATTTATTTAAATGTGTTTTTTTATTCAATATTATTCAACTATTTATGAAATCAGGGCATTGGCAGGCAGGTTATAAAAATTAGCTGAAATGACATGATGCCAGTCAACTGCTCCTGAAGTATGTTGCACTCTAGTCAGCCGTTCAGAGAAATACGTAGGAAACTGATATGGGTGAGCAGTGAGTACTGAGCAGTGAGCAGTGGACCAATTTATAGGTATTGGCACTACACAATGTTTCTGATATAAAACAGAAACTATTTTCAAGAGTTAAACAAATATTGAGTTAAAAAATAATGGCACACTAACTGATTTTGCTTAACTAAAAACTTAACAAAAACTTAAGCAATTCACAACTAACAATGCATCATCCACCATCTATCATGCGCTGCCAAGACCGAAATTGTATCACAAGCAAAACCATGGCTATATCAGCGGCATGTAAAAGCTTGAGATATGGATGTGTCAAACATATAACAAACATATAAAAACATAAAATTAAACATATGAATAAGTGATTAACCATTCCAATTACGGAAATTATACGATTTTTAACGATATACGGCGAGAAGCAATGTGCGCCAGTATCGTCAACAGCCACTCTTTACAGTAATATTTTAGGCCACTCAGACCCTCCAACCACAAGAAAACCTTACCAATCTTACCTTGCCATCTTCCTCCATCTTCTGAAACCTTCCAATCTGCTCCAAAGGGGCTTAACTTTTCAAAAAACAAGGCAAACGATCCCACGACGCGACGCCGGCCATTGTTTTGAATAGCACCCGCTCCCCCGCGTCCTTAGCGCTCGACACCACTGCCACCTAGCGGTGGTCACAAACATCGAGGAGTTGCCGATCCAGGTACTACTTCATCCATGGTGAAAGCAACGCCCGAGTAGTAAACAACAACGAGTAGTAAAGTAATCTTGGCAACGCCTTAGTGAAGTAATCTTGAGCAACGCCGTACTTGCCGCCCCCTTGCCAGAATGTATGACTCGCATTGCTCGCATGGCTCATTCGTATGATTCTCCAGTATACGAAACGAAATAAATCATTATCCAGCTCTTAACTAATGATCTGGGACCACGCAATCCAAAATGTAGTCATGCAGTTAGGGTTTCCTTTCGATCATATCAAACAGTATCAGTATCAGTATCAGTTTATTCGAAAAAGGTCCACGTAAAACGGGGCTTTTCACTTTCTCACGTCAATCAGTAAATCAATGGGGAATGTTACTGGGACATCAGACATAACTAAAATCGCACATCAATCACGCAAACACTCACATAATACCTAATACAACACATGACTAAGTAAAAGGGGGGACTCAGTTTGATGCCTGTGAGAATGCCACAATTCAAGATTGGCGACGAACGACTGACACTCGCAGAGCATCATCCATCATCAGCTCCCAGCGCCGTCTTAACTTTAACGCGGAAACTACGATCTGCAGGATCCAGTCGGTGCCTATTCAGCAGCGAAACGCCTCGGTAACACAGTCGTCGCCGACCCGTCTCGGTGCGTATGCGCGGCAACGTCCTGTTTACGGCTCGACGTGTGTTGTGATCGTGGATCTCGTCTGCTTGCGAACCGATGGTGAGGTACAGGCCTGTGGGCTCTTCGTTCCGGATAATACGTTGCAAGGCACATATAGTGTGAAAATCGATGAGCTGCTCAGCTGTAAGCCACCCTAGAAGGTTGATTGCATCTGACACGTGGTCACTTCGCCGCCTACCGGTGATAACACGGGCACCAAAATTTACAATTTTTTGAATCCTGTGCACTTGAGTAATTCCACACGAGCCGTAGACAGATAAACAATATCGCACGATAGACAACACAAGTGACTCAACTATGACTTTGAGTGCCTGGCCGGGTATAACATGACGAGCATGACTTAGTGCTATAAGGATACCTGAGCATTTTCTAGACATACAGTCGATGTGAGCTTGAAAATTCAGCGATCTGTCCATAGTGAGCCCCAGATTCTTGACTACTCGCGATTCTGTTACAGTCGTTCCGTTAAAGCTAAGCGAAACAGGTGGAAGGTCACGGAGCATCTGAGGAGTGCCGAGGACAATCATCTGGGTCTTCTGGGCATTAACCTTCATACCATTGCAGCTAAACCAGCGGAAAAGAGCCGCGAGTGCGTTTTCCATCCGCTCAATAAGATTGGGCAAGTCTCGCTTCTTGCCACTGACTAGCACCTGCGTGTCGTCAGCATACTGGATTATGCTGACTTCTTCACTGACACACAGGCTCAGGTCGTTGGCATACAGTAGGTAAAGTAAACAAGAGAGCGCACCACCCTGAAAAACACCGATGGGCACATCTCTAGTTTTCGACAGCTGGCTGGCGACTGCCGGCACATGTCCAGCACCGCTGGGATCTGCAGCCTGCTCCGTCGCCGGCATCCGTACCTGCTGCGTGTGCCTTTCAAGATAACTGCGGAACCATGCGGTGTCTATTCCATATAGTGAGAGTTTTTCAAGTAATTTAGTATGCGGCACTACATCGAAACACTTTGACAGATCAACAAGTACAAGGAGTGAAATTTTGCCTTCGTCCATGGATTGCAGCACTAGATCGGTAACCGCGTGCAAGGCTGTCTCAGTTGAGTACCGTTTCCTGTAACCGTGCTGAGAATCAGCCAACAATTTGTGCTGGTACATATCCATATCCATAAACATATCCATAAATACATTGTATTTCATAATAGCATACAATTTAAAAGCTGAATTGGCAGGATATATGTTCAAAACGCTTTGCGAATTTTCGCCACGCCTAATCATTGAATAACCGCTGGAATATCCCTGTCTGAGATACATGCGCGCCACAGCCGCCGGTGACAGCGGCTGGCGTCGGCCGCACGGCAGAGCCGCGGTCTGACCACAGCCGGTGACTGACACCGCGAACGCGTCCGGTCCGCGGCCGCCGGCGAACAACCGAGCGCCGCGGACCAGCGGCCAGTCCAGTACACCAGCCGCCAGTCCAGTACACCAGCCGCCGGACCAGCGGCCGGTCTAGTACACCAGCTGCCGCCGCCGTCCCTCCCCGACAGAGCCGTCCTCGAACACATACGGATACGCGGGCTCTGAGCGCTCCTCGCAGAGACCGAGTGAGACACAATTACATATATAAACAGCACGGCTGGCGGACGGCGAATCAGCGTGACAGGCGAGCACGGACCACAGCGGCCGCCCGCTCTCAGCTGGGCGCCGCAGCGGCCCGCTGGCTCTCCGCTGACACGCAGCAGTCGTGCAGGGGCGCTCCGCGGTACAGTGCGAGACATGATAGACAGACAGGTTACGATCGGTGCAGCCCTATACTGAGCGTGTCGAGTACACTGTCTGAACTGAATATCGAGCTTCTGCTGCCGGCAGCGCGGGGTCCGTCTCCGCGCCGCCGTACCGACCGACCGGGCCGGCACACCGGCCGGGCCGCCCGCCGCGCCAGCGGTCCGCGCACCAAAGGCAGGTCCGCAGACCGGCTCAGTATCGCCTGGGGCCGGCGCCGGCCAGACAATCACCAGAAGATCGAGCTCGGCACCAAGGGAGATCAGGCCGATCGCGATCCAGCTCCAATAGATAGGTAACAATGTCCGGTTCACGAGGGTCGGGCGTCCAGCCACCGCTCACTCGGGTAGCGGGCGTGCCGCCCTGCCCTTCACTGGGCGGCGCGGCCCGTGCAGAACAGTTCTGCCGCCACACACTACCCGTCTCCAGCCCACAGTTTGCCGTGAGCTCCTTCGCTGCCGTCGCCCCTCATCAGTGCTTCTTCAGGGACCAGAGCGGGTCTAGCTGGCTCAGCGGGTCGGCGGCGTCGGCGGGGGCGGGGGCGGGGGCGGGGGCGGCCGGTTCGGTGGGCGGGTCCAGCTGGAAGGTGGCCGGGTCCAGACAGGCGGCCAGCGGTCCGCTCAGCGCCGGCGCAGAGCTCGGCCGGCTGCCGGCGCCCGGCGCGGCGGCGGCGGCGGCCGGCAGGGAGGCCGTCGAGCCGCCCGGAGCCGCCGCACCGCCTGCCGGCCGGAAAACACGGAACGTCATTGAGCAGGCAGACAAATGAAATACACTATGGGTACACATACCTATATAGACCACTTTAACAGCTCATAGCTAATCAAAAGCCATTGCTAAGAAGAACTTTTAGTTAGGGCATGCTTTCAGCGCCTTACATTTATAACATATTAACAAAATAGAATACGTTCATGCTCCTCAGCAGTAAAGCGCGCTGCCGTTCCCGGACAGACTGCCGAGCCTGTCGGACCGCCCGCCGCCGCCCCGCTCAGTGGGCTGACGCGGACAGACCCGCCCCGTACCGTGGGCAGCCGGCGCCGGCGCCGGCGCCGGGGTGCCGCCGGCGCTCAGCGCGCCCAGTCGCGCCTGCAGCTCGCCCACGGAGCGCGCCGACGCCAGAAAATCCTCGGACGGGTGCCGGCTGTGACCCGAGTGGGCCGGGCCGGGCGGCTGCTCGAACGACGCGCGGCTCGTCAGGATACCGCCTGGGGGGGGGGGGGGGGGGCGAGAGGCCGGTCAGTATCGCCTGGACAGGACAGCGACCGGACGGGGCAGCTGGAGACGCCTCGGTGACGACCAAACCTGGCGCACGGAAGCTAATAATCACATTTACTATGTTCCCCAGAAACTGTTCAACCAGGGCATGTATTCCAAACAACCCCATACCTGGTTTGACCCATTACACAGATAACCTCATGACCCAGATGCCCGGTTAATGGGTGAGATTCAGACACAGGCTCCCCGGGCCGACCCGGCCGCGCCTCTCACGTTTCATGAGCACGTCCTGAGCGGCGTAGAGGACGGCCTGGTAGGCGAACAGCAGGTGCTGTTTGTCCTGCAGGCAGTTTCGGCGCGCCGTGTTCAGCAGGCGCGCCACCGCCAGCGGCTCCAGCAGGCCGCGGCCGGCGTTGATCTCCGCCATGGCGGCTGCCAGCAGGCAGAACACGCCCGAGCGGCCCACGCCGCCCGAGCAGTGCACCACCAGCGGACGCAGCAGCGAGCGCTGCTGCTGGTGGTAGTGCAGCACCTGAGCCACAGGGGACGGCGGTTAGCGGGCCTCCACAGGACGGGAGGGAGCTGACAGCCGCCTCTGTAACCAGTCATTATATACCATCAGCTTCCAAATTATCCAATGCCCGGTCAAGCTAGCCACTCAGTGACCGGACCATACCCCAGTCCCCGACCCCCCCTCAGCCGGCCCCCACCTCAGCCACGAACTGGACGAGCGGCGCCGGGCTGGCGGGCAGCGCGGCGCGCGGCCACCCGCCAAACTGCAGGTGGATCACCACGCGCGACATCTTGGTCTCGGCGTGCAGCACCGAGATGATGCGCTCCACCCGCCCGTTGGCCGGCGACTGCGACTGCAGGGTCAGCTGCAGCGGGCCGCGCTGCACGGCCACTCCGCGCTCCGTGGGCCAGTAAACCTGCGGCGGCGGACACAGACGACATCAGGTCTGATCAGAGCGCACAGACGGGAGCACAGCTAGTCGCGGCCACACCGCTCCCCGCTCCGTCCCGCTCCGTCCCGCCCAGCGCCCACCTGTCCGTCGAGCTCGCTGTCAGGCAGCAGGCAGACCACCAGCTCCACCTGGTGGTGCCACACCATGCACCAGAAGTCGGTCTGCGTCACGGCCAGCGGCGCCTGGGTGACCAGCAGCGGCGGACTGCCGGCGCTCAGCTCCGGCAGACGGCTGGCGTTGATGTAGTCGTCGCGCACCAGCGGCACCGCCACCAGGCTGCTGTCGAACGGCAACACGTCCTGGAACCGGTTCTTCATCGGGTAGCAGCGCGCCACGGAGATCTTCAGCGAGCGGCCGTCCGCCTGCCGCCGCGCGGGGGGGGGGGGGGTGTCGGTCAGGGGCTCAGCGGCGGAGGTAGGGCGGGCGGGCTGTGAGCTGACTCAAGGCGGAAGGTGCCGACAGGTAGCGTAGGAGCTTCAGCCGCCGACTTAGGCGTACGCTCTAAGAAGCAGCTAGACTGAGACATAGCAAACCAGCCTGATTAATTGCAATTTTGTATATACGATGAAAGTACATGATTGCCTTGTCACTTAAACCACGCATCACTGACGTAAAGGCGTGGTTCAAATCGAGTTGTTGCTACGATAAGTTCCGATCTCACAGTAGTGCCGTGCGCAACTGCATGACGTTCTATGCCTGCCTAGGTAGGTAGAAGTCAGTGTGTTATTTGCACAAGCGTACGGCACAATGAAGAACTGCACAGTGTGCGGTGGGGATGGCGGGAAATGTACAGGAAAACCCCCAGTTCCGGGCGCCAAGCACACAGCTACCCCGACAGGCCCGGCTGAAATCACGGGGACCGATCTCACACCGGGGGACGGTGAATCTACGGTCTACGTCCTGGAATCTCCCACTCACAGCAGCATCCGCCGTATCCGAGGTCTGAAAACGTCCTTTGTTACCATATGCAGTGCGTTTGAACCGTATCAGTACCACACGAGCCTTTTGGAAGGGCGACTTCGGACGGAGATCTAGCAGGGAAACACACTATTCTGATACGAGCACCGTTTCACTGATCCATAGCTGTAATGACAATATGATGAAATGCTGATGCTATTGGATTATCTTTGCTAGGTCTTAATTAGATGACCTTATAAAAGACCAGAATATCATGTTCATACTCTGTCTCCGTATACTATTTTGAGTCGCCGCTGCAGATGTGCCACAGCCGCGTCCAGCCTGGTCTACAACCTCACTCACCTCCTGCTGGTCCATCAGCTCCTTCCACTTGCTGTCCAGCGGCGTCGGACCGTTCAGCGACTTCTTGGTGAGGCTGGCCACCAGCTTATCCATCCGCTCCACCTCCTACACGGAAACGGTCGGGTCAGCGGCCGAACGCGCGGGCTTACCATGACTAAAGGGATAACTCCAACCAGGCACAGCTCATCAACTAGCCATCAAGCACTCCAGTCATGTACATGTGGATTGTAGGCTCCACCATTCAGACCTCGTAAACAATCAGCGGCACAGAGCAGTGACAATGCAGCATCCCGGGCCGGTCGTGACGGACCTGCACGAAGGCCTGCAGTCTGTCGGCGTCCGTGTACGGGTCGCCGCCGGCCGACAGTTTGCGCCGCTCCCGGTCGGCCTGCTGGCGGCGCTCTCTCTCGGCCTCGGAGGTGACCACGCGCGGCTGCAGGGCGGCCGGCCCGGGCGGCGGCGGCGCGCCCACGGAAGGTCCGCCCGCCGACAGCAGGTCCACGCCCGAGCCGGGCCCGGCGGCCGCCGGAGCGGGCGCCGAGACCGGCTGACCGGCCACCGGAGCCTGCGCAGACGGCACAGACCACTGAGAAACAGCACCAGTGAAACAACACCGAGACACTCAGCAGGGTCGACGGAACACCGCGCGGTGGCACAGAGTCACAGAGCACGGCTGGCGGTCAGCAGCGAACTACTGCCGGCACACCGTCAATGAACCGCCGGCGCGTACACCCTGCCCAGCCACGCTACTCACACTACGAACGCACCAGCTGAATGTAACCCAGGTTACACCGGCGTTCAAGGGGCACCCTCAGCACCAGACGCCGCCGCCCCGCCTCCGCCGGCGCTGGCGGGCTGTGTTAGCGCCCCCGGGACGGAAGCGCCGCGTTACCTGCACGCCGGTCGAGGCCGGCCGGAGCGTCTGCAGCGCCGCCGGCAGGGCCGGTGTGGGAGTGGGTGCGAGTGCAGGGGCCGACAGGTCGAGTCCGGCCAGCAGCTGCGCGTTCTGGGACACCAGGTCCGCCTGCCGAGCCACACCCAGACCGGGCCACAATGACGGCGCGGCCCGCTACTGGCGCACGGCCGGGCCGAGCCACACACAAACGTCGGCTCACCGGGCGCCGTGAGACAGCAGAGTCGGAAAAACTACACACCGATAGAAGAGCACACGGAAAACAGGCACGGAAGAGCACAAAGCAGGCGTAAAACGATAACAATCGTTACAGAAGGGTACAAATCGGTGCAGATCAAACTGAAAAAGTGCATAAATCCAGCTCATGTAATAATTAAGCCAATGCCGTGAGAGCCATCCGTAAGTAACGTCACCTTGGCTCAGCGATGTCATAAGTGGCTCACCTTGGCCTGCTGCTGCTGCTGCTGCTGCTGCTGCTGCTGGGGCGGCTGCTGTTGTTGTTGCTGCTGCTGCTGCTGCTGCTGGGGCGGCTGCTGTTGTTGCTGCTGCTGCTGCTGCTGCCCGGGCTGCACCGCGGCAGTCGGCTGGATGTACTGGGCCGTGTTGAGAGCGGGCGCCGACACGCTGCTCTGAGCCGGCAGGAGCTGCGGCTGCTGCGGCTGTTGGGTCAGGCTCTGCGCCGCAGCCGGGTGCCGCTGCGGCGGCTGCTGGGGCTGCTGGGGCTGCAGCGGCTGCTGCTGCGGCTGGTGCGGCTGCTGCTGGGGCCGCGGTGACGGCTGCTGCTGACCGGCCACCGGGTAGTACTGGTGTGGTGGACTCTGCTTGGCGGCCGGATAGTGTTGCTGCTGCTGGCCGGATCCCGGGAAATGCTGCTGCTGAACAGCTCCAGGATACTGCTGCTGCGGCTGCTGCTGCCCAGCGCTAGCTCCAGGATACTGCTGCTGCGGCTGCTGCTGCCCAGCGCTAGCTCCAGGATACTGCTGCGGCTGCTGCTGCCCAGCACTGACTCCAGGATACTGCTGCTGCTGCCCAGCACTGACTCCAGGATACTGCTGCTGCCCAACGCTAGCTCCAGGGTACTGCTGCTGCTGCTGCTGCCCAGTGCTAACTCCTGGATGCTGCTGCTGCCCAGCACTGACTCCCGGATACTGCTGCTGCCCAGCACTGACTCCCGGATACTGCTGCTGCCCAGCACTGACTCCCGGATACTGCTGCTGCCCAGCACTGACTCCAGGATACTGCTGCTGCCCAACGCTAGCTCCAGGGTACTGCTGCTGCTGCTGCTGCTGCTGCCCAGCGCTAACTCCTGGATGCTGCTGCTGCTGCTGCTGCGGTTGCTGCCCAGCATTGGCTCCAGGCTGCTGCTGGACACCAGGCTGCTGCTGCTGCTGCTGCTGCTGCTGCTGTTGTCCAGTGGCCGGGTATGGCCACTGCCCGGCAGCTGGGTACTGCGGCTGAGGGTGCTGGTACTGCTGCTGCGAGTACCCGTACCCGGGGTGCTGCTGGTGCCCGGCTGCCTGCGGCGGCTGCTGGCCACCGTACCCTCCGGGGGACGGCGACTGACCCGGCCCCATCGGCTGCCGCTGTGCCCCGCCGGCCGGCTGGGTGGCGCCGTACGGGCTCTGAGAGGCCGGCGCGCCTTCGTACGGGGCCGGCGCGCCGCTGTACGGGGCCTGGCCGGCCGGCGCGCCTCCGTACGGGGCCGGCGCGCCGCTGTACGGGGCCGGCGCGCTGGACGTGGCCGCCGACAGCGGAGTCTGAGCCTGCTGGGCGCCGGGGTAGGCTGCCGGCTGCTGGTGGCCGGCGCCGGACGCGCCCGGTCCGTAGGCTGCGTACTGGCCGGCCTGCGGTGGGGCGGCGGGCCGCGGCGGGGTGCCGGCTGGCGCGTACCCGGTGGCCAGCGCGTACGGCGCGATGCCCGACGGTCGGATGGCCGTCTGCGCCCCGCCCGAGGCTGTCAGACGCGGCGGCGTGTAGAAGGGCGCCGCCGGCCCGGAGGTGGCCGCCTGGCCCGAGCCGGTGCCCGCCGCCGCCGACGAGAGCACGCTGTGCGAGTGGGTGGCGCCCGTCTGCGCGTAAGAGGCGATCGGGCGACGCGCGCAGGCGTTGTCCACCTGCAGCCGGCTGTCACCCACGGGCCGCGAGAACGTCTGGTAGGGCGTCCAGGAGGTGTAGCCGCCGCCGCCGTAGTAGGACAGGTACGGGTCGTTGATGTAGCCTGCTCCCGTGGACGGCACTGGCGCGGCGGTGGCGCCGGACGAGGCCGGAGTCGGCTGCCCAGGAGGGTTCTGCGGGCCGGGCGGCCGCGAAAAGACGGGGCTGGGAGACGGTGACGGGCCCGCAATGCCGTTTGGTACGCCCGGTCCCGCCTGGGCCTCATGTTGGTAGCCTCCAGAGGGACCTGCCTGACTCTGAGGATAGCCTCCCGCCGGGCCAGTCTGGCTCTGAGGATGATAGCCTCCCGCCGGGCCCGTCTGGCTCAGAGGATAGCCTCCAGGGGGGCCCGTCTGGCTCTGAGGATAGCCTCCAGCCGCCGCCGCCTGGCTCTGAGGATGATAGCCTCCAGCCGCCGCCGCCTGGCTCTGAGGATGATAGCCTCCAGGCGGACCTCCTTGGCTCTGGTGAGGGTAGCCGCCCGTCCCCTGGCCCTGAGACGGCGGGTAGCCGGCCGCAGCCTGACTCTGAGCCCCGGGGTAGCCGGCGCTGGGCGGGGCGGGCCCGTGGACCGGCGGGTACCCGCCGCTCTGAGTCGCCGCCGGCTGGCCGTACCCGGCCCGCTGCCGGTCGGCGCCGTCCGCCGCCCGGTGGCCGGCTGTCATGTACTGGGCCATCTGCGCGGCGTACCCACCAGACTCGGGACCGCGGGCAGCCGCCGCCGCCGGCGCCGGAGCCGGCGAGGGGGCGCTCATGTACTGGGCCATCTGGGCCGCATAGCCGGGCGCGGAGGGCGCCACGGAGCCGGCGGCGGCGCCGCGGCAGCCCGGCTCGCTCTGCTCCGAGCCCAGCGGCGAGGGGCGCTGCCGCGGCGGCGTCTCGCCGGCCCGGTAGCCGGCCGCCAGGTAGTCGCGCAGCCGCGGACCGCCGGCCGGCGCGCTGGGGGCGCTGGCCGGCGTCGGACCCGACCCGGCGCCGGCGGACGAGGCCGGCAGCGCCGACGAGCGCTCCTCCTGCTGCACCTTACAGACGCTGCGCGCGCGGGTCAGCAGCTTGCTGACGCTCTCCTGGGTAACGAGAGACAGAAGGGGGTGAGAACGGGCCCAGCCCATTGCCCAGCTTCAGGCCTGAATAAAGTAACGAAAAGCACGTCCATGTATGGGTGTACGTACACTGTAGTCTACAAATCGCCGTTTCGAGTCAGCTATTGTAAGTTCATACAAAATTAGACCAAGGGTTGTTCGCCAAACTGTTTCAAGCCGCGGTGATGGTCCCTATACCCCCGCCCCATCCCCCGGTCCCGCACCCGCCCGCGGCGCCCACAGCTGACCTGCAGTTTGGTGTAGAACTGGACGCCCTGGTCGCCCTTCTGGAGCAGCTCGTCCAGCGCGCGGTGCGACGTCAGCAGGTCGGCCACGCGCGCCTCGCGCTGCGCCACCAGGTCGGCCACCAGCTGCCGGGTGGGCGCGTACGCCGCGTTGGCCTCGGTCAGCGCGCGCAGGATGTTCTCCTGGGCGGTCAGGTTCTGTTCGATCACCGCCGCCTGGCGAACAGAGGCGCCGGCGTCAGCGGCTGGTACCGCTATACACAGCCGGCGTCAGCGGCTGGTGCAGCTATACACAGCCGGCGTCAGCGGCTGGCGCAGCTATACACAGCCGGCGTCAGCGGCTGGTGCAGCTATACACAGCCGGCGTCAGCGGCTGGTGCAGCTATACACAGCCGGCGTCAGCGGCTGGTGCAGCTATACACAGCCGGCGTCAGCGGCTGGTACCGCTATACACAGCCGGCGTCAGCGGCAGCTGATACAAATCTAACATAAAAAACAAAAAGGCTGCCCATAAGAAAACGGACCGAAAAGCGCCACATATTGAGTGGTGAAAAGGAAGGAATATTATGGACTCCCTCCCTGCTTTCTGCCTCCTTACCCCACCCCAAACCCCGCCCCGCCGCTCGACGCCCGTTCTCCAGGCGGCACCAATGGCCCCCTGGCCGTCCGCCGTCCCGCCGGCTGAGCCGCGGCGCCCATCGCCCCCTCTCCGTCTGCCGGCCGTCCCGACCTGTTTACGGTGTTTGTCCAGCTCGCGCTCGATGAAGGCGCCCACGTCGTCACCGGCGCGCGTCACCACGCGGCGCGTGATGTCGTCACCGTGGACGGCGTCCCGCAGGTGACTGGTCAGCATGGAGCGCTGCCGGCGCATCTGCTCCACCTGGTGCCGCCGGGCAGGGGCACACCGTCAGAGGGGGGAGGGGCACACCGTCAGAGGGGGGAGGGGCACACGGTCAGAGGGGGGAGGGGCACACGGTCAGAGGGGGACACAGTCAGAGGGGACGGGACGGGCAGAGGGGACCATCAGAGGGGACCATCAGAGGGCGTACCCCTTCGCTGCAGTTGGACACTCGCCACAGAGGCGCATTTAAGGGTCTGAAGACGCACTCATATGACTGTTTCAGCCACCATGCCAAGAACGGCTACCATGTGATTGCGTTTTCTTTTTCTTTCCTTCGAAATATGCCGTATGCTGGAGTTGGGCAGAGGCCGTAAGTTAGGACTGGCGATTTGATGGCGCCTGTATCGGTTACCTCGGTCCTCTACCGATGAGTTCCCACCGTCTCTCCCGGCTCTCTGACCTTGTCCACGATCCGCTGGAGCTCGCCGATGGCGGCGGCCGCCTCGGGCCGCTGCACCACGGGCAGCACGGAGGGCAGCTGCGCCTCCAGCGCCTCCAGCGGTCCGCTGAGCAGCGTCAGGTGCGGCAGGTGCGCCGAGATGGCGCGCTGCAGCGCTGTGTCCGACTCGGCCGCGTGCCGGTGCGCGTCCCGGTACTTGGCGAACTCGCGGCGCAGTTCGGCCGTGATCATGGACGGCGGACAGCGGCCGCCCAGCGCCGCCGCGTGCTCCTTGGCCCGCTCCTCCTCCTCCTGTCCGCGCAGCGGCGCCCCGGTCACAGTCAGACAGGACGGCGTCCCGGTCACAGTCAGACAGAGGCGCCCCGGTCACAATCAGACAGCGGCGCCCCGGTCACAATCAGACAGCGGCGCCCCGGTCACAATCAGACAGCGGCGCCCCGGTCACAATCAGACAGCGGCGCCCCGGTCACAATCAGACAGCGGCGCCCCGGTCACAGTCAGACAGCGGCGCCCCGGTCACAGTCAGACAGACCTTCAGTGGAAAGATAGAGGCAAGCTGCATAATGCAAAATGAGCATTTAGCGGAGGATATTCGGCAGCACAGGACAAATTAAGGTCCAAAGATCTTGACATGTTTTTGGCGGCTAGTGGGGTGCTTAAACAAGCAGCACCTGAAACATACCGTGACTAAAGAAGAAGAAAAACAATACCAGCGTGTCGACAAAGGTTCCCACCCAGCCATTAGTGGCGGCGCTCGTCAGTGGCGCCGTGTGCGGCGGTGCGTGCCTACCTTAAGGAGGGTCTCCAGCTCGTCGAGGCTGTCCTGCAGGTCCACGGAGAGGCTGGCCAGCCGCGACATGGCCTCGGACAGCTGGCCGACAGCGCCGGGACGCGCGTGCAGCGAGGCCACGCAGTCGACCAGCTCCTGCCAGAGCGCCAGCCGACAATTAGCGGCAGCGGTCAGGCGCGGCTGCCGTCCACAGGCCGGCAGGGTGGGAGAACGGCCTCCCCAATTGCCGTGCAAAGACAAAAACTTCTATGTGAGGTCGGAGTCTGACCTCAAATACTAGTTTTTGCCTTTGCACGGCAGTCGACATGTCATAAGGCAACAAAAACGGTGTCGTTCACAGAACAATCTCGTGTCCATTAAAGTTCCCCAAGCCGGTTGCTACCGTCCATACCTGCGGAAGCTGGATGTTTGATGTGGTTCCCGCCACAAAAGGTTTCACCACCTGAAAGGAACCGGGGTCTGGTGTAACGCAGGTGCCAGTGACGGGCACAGTCATTACTGACGTAAATCAATGCAAGACGGTTCTCTTGTGAGATAATCGCCAGCTTCATTGAAGAACTAGCGGCTGTCAGCCCTCACCTCGAGCTGGTCGAGCTGCAGCGAGGAGAGCAGCACCAGCAGCTCCT